AGACTAAATAGATTTTCGGTCCTGCCCCAGCTCTTCTCCCACCCCAACTCCACTCCCTCCAGCATTACCGAAACATTTGGCAAACAAAACCCGGAGCGAGCGATTGCTCTAAATGGCTTTGAAGAGAAGCGTTTCTACCTAAGAGCTAAGCACAGAGGAGAAGAACAAACTGTCTCGAAAAAAAATTCGTGCTGGTGGGACAGAAGAGGCTGTCAGGAGAGGGGAACAAAGTTTTCTACGTGACAAAATACACTAGGTAGCCAGCTAGACAGAGACAACCAATTTGAAAGGTGTATTTTTATCTGCGCAACATGATGATATAGTGCAGGCTGTGTTGTGTGAGCTTTATCTCCTACGTCTTGCCAGCGTTGTTACACCGGAGGCAGCACAGCTATACCCATGCACTGTGTTGGGGGGGCGGGGAATTCCTCTCCGCGGTGCGCGCACCTACAGCGCCGTGCGCTCTGCCCCGTCTGTCTGCGCGGCCCGGAGCGCTTTACCCGGCCAGCGAAATCCCTGGCCCCTGAATCCCCCGTGGGAATCCTCCCGTCCTTGGGGGTAAAATCGGGGCGGGAGATGCCTGCCCTAGCATTTCTCCCCGGCAGACTGAAAACAGCCGCACGCGTGCAGTTGGGAAATTAAACTCCCCGCTAGTGCCTGCTGACTCGTGACAGCCAGACCAATAAATAAATCGTGAGGAGTGGAGCGGTCACAAGCCCTTTTGGCCCCAAGGTGAGAGCGAGTCCCGGCCGCCCATTAAAACAAGCTCGTCGCCGCTCCTGGCGCGGTCCCCCGTGGCAGGACAACTTGGGGCTCCAGTTTTCATTCGGGTGGGTTGGGATTTATTCCGAGCGGAGGCTGGCCCGAGCCTGGCTGGAGGCTGAGGGAAGCTCCGGGGGTCCCCGGTCTTTAAGTAGCACCTGTGAACTGGTTGTAAAAGAAGGCACCGAAAAAAACAGAAGAGCCCCTCACTGATGGCACGTCCTAGGACCTGCAGGACCGGCCGGCGGCCGCGCGCGGCGGGAAGTGGAGGAGAGCAGGCGGCTCCCCATGGGCCGCGTCCGGGGCCAGCGGCGAGAGCGCCGGCTGTCCC